CCCTCCCCCGCATCATTCCCAAAATGAAAAATGAAATATGCACAACTAGGAATCAAGGGGAACTTTCCTATGAAAATTGAGAAACATCTGTTAAGCGCTTCTTCAGAAATAGCAACAACAAACTTGAACTGTCAAAATTCAAGATGGCTGCTAGGCAAACTGTCTTAGCCAAGTTAAACAGATCTAGAGTGAAAGTATCATGTTAATTGCTATCATGACTTTACTTACTTTGATGGTTGGAGCATCCTTGTCATAGATGACAAAACAGACCTTCTTCACAGAACTGGACGGATTTTGAATGGAGTAATTTGTCACTATCTTAAACATTTCCCTAGCCACAAGGTCGCGTGGGTAACCAAGGTTACCAGTTCCCATGGCTGGGAATGCTACAGACAGATAGCCTTTAGTGGTTGCCTCTTGCAAACATGCCAACATGAACTTCTGTAGGACCTAAAGACAGAAACAACACATATATAAAATGTTCACAGATAAAAACATGTCAGCAAATATTCAATAGAAGAACACACTAATGGAAACCTGAGGCTTCAGAAATTGCTTGCTTCAGGAGTTTTTTCTGTGTATTTTCATACAATTTAATTTTGGTTATTCCCCCAATGCTAAACTCTTCTGGTTATACCTTATTATAAAATAACCTAATCAAATAGACAAACACCAAAAGTGATGACGTCATACACCAAAATGTTTGGCTAAGTCCTGATTAATTGAAATTTCTCGGCAATGAAATTATTACACAATGTTGTGTTTTGTGCACAATAATTTTGTTTTTATCAGAAATTAATAAATATTCATCTGTTATGAACTAAAAAGGGTTGTCTGTCTTTTTGAATTTTATTTATATGGTATAATCATGATTATTTTTCGGGGGGTTATACAGTACATGTATATACCGAAAAAACTTTTTGCATACACTGCTTGGAGGATTTATGCAAACTTCACACAGTTGTTTCAGTATACATTGTATAACCCCAAAACACAATCCTGGTTTTTTATTAAATACATATTACATATGGTAATTAAAACATATATAAGGACCCTGGGGACCTTAATTGTAATCAGGACAAAACACCATACATATTTATTTACATAACAAAAGGCCCAGAGGGTATTGCACTAGGGTATCCAAATGAAAGTTAAGGGGAGGTTACTGAATATGGGAAAAAGTACAGTGGGACAGGGATACTTAAGTGTTGAAATTGTAAGCTGCCTACATCAGAGAGTAACTGCAGTGCTTGCAGTAAAACAAACCATTAAACAGTATAAACATTACTTATTACAGCAGTTGCATACAAACTCACTGCCAGAGATGAAGCTCCGCCATCCCAGCCCGGCAGTGCTCCATGACAGACATTCCGACACGCGAGGCTGTACCCGCTAGTGACGGCTATGTCTCCGAATGTGATGCCCTGGTAGTTCTGATCACATTCTGCTTGCAACTGAGTCCCAGCAGCAGACAGAAGGGAGGAGGAAACTGCTCCGTTACTCAACTTCAGGTCCTTCGAGCAGGTGTTCACAATTATATCGACCTGGTAATGGTGAAAAGAAAATTGAAAACAAGAACTGTAAGCCGACAGACTAACAACGAAAATAAACCTTGTTGATCACCTTATGGTGAAAATATTTTTTTATTTAATTATACTTCAGACTTTCAATTAGGTTGTCAACAGTTATAGCTGGTTAACCGGTTACTCAGTCGAACTACCATGAACTGGTTACCATAATCAATAACCAAAATAACATTTATTTACGCAATGGGGAGCCCCTTGTTTACCAGGCTTATACTAACAAATTATCTTTCGATGATTTTTCTTTTATTTAGAGCCCTTGTTAACCAGGCTTATACTTACAAATTATCGTTCGATGATTTTTCTTTATTTAGAGCCCTTTGTTTACCAGACTTATACTAACAAATTATCTTTTGATGAGTTTTCTTCTATTTAGAGCCCTTTAATTTGTTTACCAGGCTTATACTAACAAATTATCTTTTGATGATTTTTCTTTATAAAAACAGTTTTCAGACTGACTTAGCTGTTAGCTTTGTTTTTGTACTCCTTAGTAAAGAGTGGCCAAGAGGTGCCGACAACACCAAAAAAGCCTGAGCAGATTTTAAAAGGGAGCAAGAATACAACTGGTCCAACTAATATAACTTACCCTCCGGTAGCTCTAGTCCGACTAATTAACCCTCTGGTAACTAGATACTCCTACTGACTTATATTACCCTCTGGTAACTCGAGTCCGACTGATTAACTCTCTGATTACGAGATAGTCCTACTAGCTTAACGTCTGTTAACTCTAGTCTGCCTGATTAACCCTCTGATTACTAGATAGTCCACCTGACTTACCCTCTGTTAACTAGATAGTCCTACTCACTTACCCTCTGTTAACTCTAGTCTGACTGATTAACCCTCTGGTAACCCTAGTCCGCCTGATTAACCCTCTGTTAACTCTAGTCCGCCTGATTAACCCTCTGTTAACTAGATAGTCCTACTCACTTCCCCTCTGTTAACTCTAGTCTGACTGATTAACCCTCTCATTACTAAATAGTCCACTTTACTTACCCTCTGTTAACTCTAGTCTGACTGATTAACCCTCTGATTACTAAATAGTCCACTTGACTTACCCTCTGTTAACTCTAGTCCGCCTGATTAACCCTCTGGTAACTAGATAGTCCACCTGACTTACCCTCTGTTAACTGTAGTCCACCTGATTAACCCTCTGGTAACTAGATAGTCCACCTGACTTACCCTCTGTTAACTGTAGTCCACCTGATTAACCCTCTGGTGACTAGATAGTCCACCTGACTTACCCTCTGTTAACTGTAGTCCACCTGATTAACCCTCTGGTAACTAGATAGTCCACCTGACTTACCCTCTGTTAACTGTAGTCCACCTGATTAACCCTCTGGTAACTAGATAGTCCACCTGACTTACCCTCTGTTAACTGTAGTCCACCTGATTAACCCTCTGGTAACTAGATAGTCCACCTGACTTACCCTCTGTTAACTGTAGTCCACCTGATTAACCCTCTGGTAACTAGATAGTCCACCTGACTTACCCTCTGTTAACTGTAGTCCACCTGATTAACCCTCTGGTAACTAGATAGTCCACCTGACTTACCCTCTGTTAACTGTAGTCCACCTGATTAACCCTCTGGTGACTAGATAGTCCACCTGACTTACCCTCTGTTAACTGTAGTCCACCTGATTAACCCTCTGGTGACTAGATAGTCCACCTGACTTACCCTCTGTTAACTGTAGTCCACCTGATTAACCCTCTGGTGACTAGATAGTCCACCTGACTTACCCTCTGTTAACTGTAGTCCACCTGATTAACCCTCTGGTGACTAGATAGTCCACCTGACTTACCCTCTGTTAACTGTAGTCCACCTGATTAACCCTCTGGTGACTAGATAGTCCTACTGACTTACCCTCTGTTAACTCTAGTCCGCCTGATTAACCCTCTGGTAACTAGATACGTCCTATTGACTTACCCTGTGAACTCTGACCTGACTGACTTAATTACCTTCTGTTTGGCTATCTGTCCTTTCACCAGCTTGATAGAGATGTTAGTTTCAATGGGGCCGGCAGAAAATGAGGGTGCCACATCTACAAGGTGTAAAGATTTCTGATAATTTTTCCAATGAAGTTACTATTTTTGAAACATAACACTTCATTAAACATGTACATGTATATTAAATACACATCCAGATTTTTTTTGTACCTTGGCAAAATAATTTCGATTGTGGCTAAAGTACAGTGTACAATATGTGTTATCTCACTAATCAAGTTCAGGTAAAACAAGCTAACCATACTGAAATATTGTAAAGTGATATGCCCTATCAGAAGAAAGACACATTTACTTATAAAGTTTTGGTAAAATGAGGTCAATCTTTCAGAAATCACAGACAGGCAGCTGGGAACAGCTGTATCCATAGCAAGTATCCACAATGGCATCCGGTCGTAAAAAAATAAATACTCGATATAATAGATTTCCCTTACTGGGTGTCTGATAATAGATTTCCCTTACTGGGTGTCTGATAATAGATTTCCCTTACTGGGTGTCTGATAATAGATCTCCCTTACTGGGTGTCTGATAATAGATTTACCTTACTGGGTGTCTGATAATAGTTTTACCTTACTGGGTGTCTGATAATAGATTTCCCCTAACACTTACTGGGTGTCTGATAATAGATTTACCTTACTGGGTGTCTGATAATAGATTTACTAACTGGGTGTCTGATAATAGATTTCCCCTAACACTTACTGGGTGTCTGATAATAGATTTACCTTACTGGGTGTCTGATAATAGATTTACTT